AAGGAGCTGATCTGATGTCAGCTATAGTCTAAACTCCTTAAAGGTGGTTCTATAGAGGGACTAGATAGGGGACTACTATAGGGGATATTACGGGGGATACTAAGAGTGTTGACTATAGCTGATGTGTAATCAAAGGTTTCGATTGTGGGCTGGGGTTTGGGACTTAGAGGCTTAGGGTTTAAGATTTAGGGTTTGGGAATTAGGGTTTAAGGTTTAGGGGCCTTGTAACGTTTTGGGGGGATGACCTGAAGTTTAAAGTCTGCCAATACAGGGGGTATACAGGGCTCTATAGGGAGAATATGGGGAGACTATAGGGAGCATGGAAAAGATTATGGAAACGGTTTGAGGCCCTAAATCCAAACCCTAAGTGGGCCTTGGGGTTTTTAGGTTCTGGGGTTTTAATTCAGAGCTCAACTTCTATCGTCATCTCATGAGGAGACGTCCCTAAAAGATAAACCTTATACCCTAAACCCTGCCCTAAGGGTCCAAGGACCCAAATAATAGGGTCTTAGGGCCCAAGCACTATTATCTTAACGGTACTTGAGCCCTAAAACCGTAATATTTGGGTCCTTGGACCCTTAGGGCTATTCACCCCTGTAGAAACCCGATGTTACCCACATATTCTCTTTAAATGGACCTCTATATCCCCGTATGAGCTGCTGTCAATATTTTCTAATGGACATGGGTTCTCTGTTCAGGAATACATCAGAGACTAAACGAAGTAAATTACAAGAGGGATCCCTCGTAATGGTAAAGCTGCTATTGACGGAAACTCATATAGCTCCATGGTTCTCTTTAGATCACTTGCGGCCACAAATGGACTTCAGGCGTAGAGGTTGCATGTAAGGTTTACGATTCCTGGCTGTCGGTTAAGGGTTTAGGCTGAAGGGTGCAGGCCTAGGCCCTAAAACCTAAATCCTAAACCCTTAAGCCACCCTAAAGTGTCATGAAGCAGTTGTCATCCTGTTGGGTTCCGAAACGGAATGTCGTAAAACGTTTGTTGTGACGTGCTGATTTGTGCACAATACCATGATCCGACTTACTATCCTCAGGCCGTACGTCTAAGATACCATATCATTTAAGATCGCAGCTGCTAACACCGGTCTCAAATACCCTGGTCTTCCTGGCTTTGCTCTTGCGCGCGATGTCCAGAAATCCCACCAGTTAGATGCCCTGGGAATTAACTAAATGGCAAATCATTCTGATTGTAAGGCCTTACATCCCCCTAGAACCCCTTACTTGGACACCTGGACCCTGAAACTTCATCCTGGACCCTAAGCCTTAAACCTTGAACCCTAAACCCTAAACTTTGAACCCTAAACCGTCGTGCGCGGGCAGGCGGCTGGGAGGCGCAGCTCGGATGGGCGAAGGCAAATGGAATGAAGCCAGGGTTGAAGGGTTTACGGTTTAGTTTGCTAGCTACTCTGGTTACCCGAATCTCAAAACGAGTAAAGGGATCTTTGCGGCTTGCGGTAACCCTGGGCGTCTACGGTAGGGTGCGCCAACCATCAAAACTCCTGTGTCTAAGCTCTAAACCCTAAAACCCACCCTAAGCCCTAAACCGTACCCTTTGAACCAATCATGTCTACGTTCTGTTTTATTGGGGTAGCAAGGCTTTAGGCAGACCCCAACTCAAAGGACCTTGCGCCCTAAACCGTAAACCTATTTGTCCTGCAAGGGGTTCAGGGTTCAGGGCACTACAAGGTTGAGGTAGGAAATCGTCAATGAAGCAGTCAGCTTTTTTGCAAGGCGCGTGCATAGCAAACAGGTAGGGTGCCTTGTGCATGAGCTAGAGAACATGAAGACTTTGTGCGTAAGCAGTATCATCAACTTCCCGAAGCCCTGATTTTACCCACTTTGAGCCATAAGCTACTGAAAAGTTGAGCCTTATCGGGGTATGCCTGAATATCATCATGATTATACTCGAGGCACGTATGCATAAACATGCAGTGTAATTCAACAACAGCCCCGGGAAGTTGTATGATAAATCAGGATCGTGGATCACGAGGCTACAGCCGGATTCGCTACTGGAAGTATGACCTGATAATGTAGAGACCAAACTGGTCCGTTTGTACCGTACTAGAACTACATACCCAGACAGGGCGGATCTAGCAAGTAGATCCCCCTTATGGGTCCCTAGAAATTACCCAGTAGTATGATCGGTGCCAGATTGGGGGTTCTCTTACTGGATCCCCCCAAAAGGTCTGGGTAAGGACTCTTAGGGGAGGATATTTGATTTTACTCGGTCATCTACATTACATTACTCCCCTGATTTACTCCCCTAAGACTTCACTCCAAGAATCACTAGTTCAGGTCTGCGAAAGACTCTCTTTTGGTTCTTTATTGGGATACGATGCAAAGCTGCACTATTCCGTATCGGTTTTTAACATTACCTAGAAATTTGAAAAACGTCTTTCAAGCCTGCCGGCTCGAAGTAGCACCCGGTCAGCTCAAAGGAAGCTGTGCTTCAGACTTCAGCTAAAGCCCTTCCAGGCCCCTCATTGGCCAAAGTCGTGAAAGCACGCGTGGCAGCCAGGGTTCTTAGCCTGAAAAGCACAGATGGAGTTTTCTCAGCATGAAGCTATCATATCGGGATATATGGAAAGTATGAGGCACTGTGAGGCCATCGTTATTGACTCTGCAGGGAAGATTTTGAGACACATTCTTCTTGCTGGGCTTGCGGATTTCATTTGGGATCCCCCAACGCCGTCTTGGCATCTGAGGTTCTCTCAGGCTTTCTTGGAGAAGCAATCAGCGGCTCGGTTTTCTTGTATCCCATACTACTCTGCCAGAACACGCGCTCCCACATGAGGTCTAACGGTCTAACTACGTGTTCAAATTATTTGACTAGAAATCCGGGTTGGGGATGGCGGGCTTCGGAATGTGGGTTTCGGGCTACGTGCTGCGGCCGACGCTAGGCTTGGATGACCGCTGAAGACATGTGAGCCATAGTCAAAACTCATAGTATCCCCCCTAATCACTCCCCATAGTAGTCCTGCATATACTCCCCGATATCCCCTTTCAAGGAGGTTAGACTAAAGCTCAGGTGAAGATTCGCGTTCAGGCTTCCCCATGCTCTCACAATTAATAATGGCCTTTCTGGCTCTTTTTCTGGGTTTGAGAGCATTGGGTTCAAGGTTTAGGGTTGATGTATTGACCTTTGAAGTCCAGGAAGGTAGAGGCCCAAGAGGGAGGTTCTCTAACAGCTACCCTTTTTAAACATCATTACCGTGTTCAGTAGTCAGCCCGTCAGTCATCGCAGGGTCTACTGAGGAAGATCCGAACCCTGGAGCCTGGAGCCCTCCATATTCAGCAGAACCCCTGAATACGGTGGATGGACAAAATCCTGCATGACTCTGTATACAGAAATCCCAGGAATTATGTTGCCATAATATGCTTAAGGTCACGCAGGATTTTGTCCATCAGGAATACCCTCCGCTTTTTTAGAAACCCTAATCACCGGCCCACGAATCTCAGCCAGCATCGACGCCAACATTGACAAATCTGGGGCTTTCCCCCGAAAAAGGTACCGCTCAGAGGCCTCATAGTGGAAGGTTTTAGGCTTTAGGTCTTAAGTTCAGGGTACAAGGAGGACCTGATTTTGAGACACTCCCACCCAAACCCTTGACGCTCCGATCTTGTTTTCTGGACTTGCCAGCGGAACTTTGCTTTCTTTACCCTAAATCCTGAACCTTCTTGTGGAGCTTGCGCTGAAGGACCCTGAAGACAGGAAATATGCTTCACAGGGAAGTAATCGGATTCCCTACTAGCTAGCTTCTGGACAAAGCATTGCCGCTGCCCAAACACTCCGCACTCCCATCAGAAGAGGAATGCCGGCGATTCATGGCGGAGGAGGTGCACGTCTCCGTCCAAGGTGCAGCAAGCCAAACAACTTGCAATCGCAAAATCAATGGGGCTGCAACTCAACTTGCTGCATATGTTGATTCTGCACAAAGACACTTTCCCAGGCACTTGACTTGCAGCAGGATGCCAAGTAAACAAACAAGGTACTCCATTTGTCTCGGCGCCGCGCGCAAATTGCCAAACTCCTGCTCGCTGCAGGTTGTGATGGCCGCATGCCATTTTTCCAAGCAGGCCCCAAAATGTCAAGCAGCCGAGAAGGAATCCACCATTTTAACATCATTCCTGTTATCATGCACCTCCGAAAGTTTGCATGCGCAAGCTGACGTTCCTAAGTCTTGCAGTCAAAAGGTCGAGCAGCTGGGCTTCTAGTTGAAACATTCTAGATTTGCGTGGGTGGCAAACAAAATTGGCTGCTTTATCTGGGCTTGACGGATCTGGTTTTACTAGACACCTCACATGATGCGCACGATCCTGCCCGCAACCAAATTCAAATAACCGGCCACCACTGCCACTGGACGCTGCGGCACGAGGACAGACCCTTTGCTTCCCTCAGATTCCAGCCTGCAATGTTCAGCATTCAATCGAAACTCGGGCAATCGTCACGCAACATGCGCTCGAAAAATATGTCTGGCCTCACTCGCCAAGCAACCTTCAGGGCGGAGCTCGCGCCAAGGGCCTTCAAGTCCAGCTTGTTGCCATAGGTGAGGTTGGAGCCCTAGGCAGGCTCATGTCGCACTGAGACTTCACTACTTCTAACTCGAAAGGCCGCAAATAGCAAAAGAGTCAGGCCTTGTGGTCCTGCTTCCCTTGTCTCTTCTTGGGTTTCTCCTTCATCTCCTCAAGGACAAACACCAGCTTCGTGGTTTGCTCCATGAAGTCCTTGCCCAAGTCAAAGTCATGGTGCGAAAACTTGACGTTCGTCTCAGCGCAGGGAATGCATGCAAGCAATTCAAACGTACAGCGTGACACGCAGATGAACAGCAGCACAAGCAATCAAAGACCACACCTCGCCAGCGTCCTCTAGCATGCGCATCACGTCGCGCACCCGGCAGGTTGTTTCAACACACTGCAGATCCACGAGGTGGCTGTAGAGCGTCCGTTTCTCAAGAATGATGTAGGAGTCCAGTCAAGCGGACTGAGAGCCACCGCCCATTGCCGTCGCTGAAGTATTCTTGCGCATCTGCAGCTTCGTAGAAGCACCCACTGCCAGAGGAGAAGAGCGCTCGCCCGTCTGCCGCCGTGAATGCTTGCTCTATCTCGGCCCACATCCGGCTGCCAGCCTCATCAGCGACCAACGTCACCTCGCTCGTGATCTGCAGGATGTGCCTTGACGCGCGCAAAGACAGCAGAAGAGGATTTAAGGGACAGGGCCAATGCCAAGGAACGGGTTGGGCAAAGAAGCAAGTTTCTCGCTCGTCATCTCCTCTGTGAACTCGACCAAGATGCACTCGGCAGGCTTGCCCACATTTTCCTTTTTCAGAGGTTCTCTTTCCACCCTGGCATCAGCAGCCTGGAGCTTCTCCTTGTTGTAGAGGTCGTCATGGCTCTCCAGCTTCTCTGCAAAGCCAGGCATGGCAGAGAATTTGCTCACATAGGCGTGCTTGATCACCAGCGTGCCTTGAATGACTGTGCAGACCTTGAACTCACCTTGGACATCGCTGGCGGCAGCCTGCGCGTCCAGAGCTCTCATGTCCTGAACTACCGGGCCAAAAATGGGAGCTCCATCGATTTCCAACTCGCCCGATCTGGCCCTTTCGTAGGCCGCGTTCATGATCATCTGCTGCAAATAATCATTCTTCTTCTCGGGCGTGCAATGGGCAATCGTGGCGCAGAACGTGGGCACAGATTTCTTAGTCATGCATGACAAAGCAGGCCATCGAATGACTGAATGAGTGCGTGCCAAGACATGCACTTTGCGCGGGTAGCCCGCAGCAGACGCTCAACACGCACAGTCTCCATTTTTTCTCCATCTCACAGCTCGTGTTGATCATTTATGGTCCGCTTTTAATCTTGTGACTCTTATTGCAACTTCCACTGCCACGCGGTCGAGCCCTGCCAAGTTCCCTTCTTTCTGCTTCGATGATGTGTGCCTGCCCAACTTGCTTCTGGTGGATCGGGCAATCCAACTTTCGATCCTTGCAAAACAAAACTCCAAGCCAGAGCGTGCCGTCAAAAGGAGAGCATCCTGTCAAAAGGCCGGCGCCTCCTCAGAATCGTAACTGTCTTCGACCATGACCGGACCTCAGTATATTCGAGCTTGTAACAACCAAATGAGAAAGATTCTTCTTAAATCTGAGCTTTGAACTTGCAGCACCATCCGGATTCATCAGCTCATTCTCATCACCTGCGCAACGGTCGAGGATACGAATCATTTGATAAAGAACAGCTGCCCAACCTGCCTTCCAAACTTCCGTCATCAGACGCCAGAAGCTCTTCCGCGTCACTTTATAAAGGAGGATGCTAAGATGTGTTTGTTCATCGGGTGCTTGCGTGTAGATACTTAGATACTTGTTGTTAATATCGGGTCGCGGGCTTAAGGTTTGGAAAGATGACCCGCCGCTAGCCCGCTGGGTTTTTCGAATTCCTAAGATCAGATATTGATTGACAGATGAAATCGTATTGATTGATGTCTGGTCCTTTCAAAGTTCATGAGATCAGGAGCATACAAGCAAAGTACTTAGGCCAGAAGCCTACACATGTAGCAAGCCCAAACTAAACATCCGGTTAACTTTTGGAAAACATCTGGTTACAACAACACTGGAATATTTACTATTCCCACAAGGGGTAATCAGGGTTATAATGGCCCTTTAATCAGACCCCTTTAAGGACAGTTACTGGGAGGGGGAATGACCCAAGGTTTACCCAATCTACAGTAACTTGCTTCTCACCCCTTAAACCCTAAACCCTAAGCCCTGAACCCTGAACCCTAAGCCCTAAACCCTCAACCCGAAGCCCTAAACCCTAAGCCCTAAACACCCTAAGCCCCTAAACAGCTCTTGAACAAAATCCCACAAGGCCTGCCGTGGCTGAAGGAGGCTGAAGTGTTCAGTGCTCGACTGGGTCCGACTCCTCAGCTGGCTCAAGATTTGGGGTTTAGGGTCCAGATTTAGGGTTTAGGGTGTGGGGCTTAGGGTTTAGGAATTTGAGTATAGGTTTAGCGGGTGGGTTTTAGGACTTAGGGCTTAGGGTTGGAACTATGGGCCCCTAGCATGGGCCCTCAATCCTGGCCCTCCTATACCAATCATACCCTCTAGAACCCTACAAACCCAATTCAGGGCTCGAGGTATGGATTTGGGTTTAGGGTTGGGTTTGGAATGTCTTGGTTTGAGGGTGTGGGCTTCAGTCAGGGGCTTACGGGTTTCCCTGCTACCCGCCTTGGTGCCTCCCCAATCAAGGTATGGATTGGGTACTGCCCCCACCCAGTACCAGTCCATATTAGGGGTCCTATTAAGGGCTATATATATTCTAAATATTATCCAACTGTTACTGAGTGGGGGCAGTACTCAAGGTATGGAATACTTGGCTTGATCAAGGATGATTGAGGCTGAGCCTAGGGGGCGGGAGGGCGGCGGCGGCGGCGTCGGTGAGGAACCCATGATTGAAGGGTGTCTCGAGCGCTTGTCTCTGGCTGGGTGG